GGCCTGCTTTCCGGTTCCACTGGTGGAACCTCTTCTAACCGGTTCGGTAGATTTGACGAAATGGTTCTACCGAATAGGTGCGAACTGGCAGCAATCCACCTCTGATGCACACCGTGCTTGTTGTGTCAAACAGACGGCAATTATAATTATATAGGAGACTCGGGTGGGATGCTGGGGGACTGCAAGAACCTCTAGCTAAGATTCTGTGCCATTCCCACTCCTCACTGGCCCCCCTACCCGCCCCTCCCAGGAGTCCCCAGGTTTTGGATGCAGGCAACTGCAGGGCGCATGCAAAGGCTCAGGGAGGGCAAAAAACAGGCCTATTGGAAGTTCAGGAAGGCGGGAAACGGGCTGGTTTCCGGCCTGGGGAGGCCATTTTCGCCCTTCCGGAGACTCAAGAAAAATGCCCCCCCCCCGGCATGGTACAGGAGGCTAACTAGGCCACACCCACCATGGCAAGACCCACCCAGCAACCGGGCAGAGAACCCCCTGCTAAATTTTTTGAAGCCTACCCCTGTAGAGGACGGGATAGCGCCGGGGTGGGTGGGCAGGCCTACTCACCGGCCATAACTACCAGTTCGCCCAAACCTGTCCGAACTGGCCTGCTTAATTCAAATAATCTTTTGGATGCTAAGATGGGGAGGAAGTGAAGGAATTGTGGTTTTGCATCTGGGCACGCAGACAGAGGTTTCCCCCCCCCTTTTTTTTAATAATAGAAAACTCTGAAAATAGAGCAATGTCTACCCCCTTCTGGTATAGAAGAGCGGACAGTACCATATTTTTCGGAGAATAAGACGCACTGGAGTATAAGACGCACCAAGGTTTTGAAGAGGCAAATTTTAAAAATATTAGGTAGGTAGAGGGATAGAGAGGGAGAGAAAGAGAGAGAAATACAGTAGGGAGGGAGGGAGGGAGGGAGAGAGAGAGATAGAGAGAGAGTGTAGGTAGGTAGGTAGGTAGAGGGATAGAGTGAGAAATAGAAGGAGATAGAAATACAGTAGATAGGGGGAGAAAGTAGGTTAGTAGAGGGAGAGAGAGAAATACAGTAGATAGGTAGGGGGAGAGAGAGTAGTTAGGTAGGTAGATAGGGAGGGAGAGGGATAGAGAGAGAGGAATACAGTAGATAGGTAGGTGTTTCTACTGGCACAGTACTTGATCAATGTAATTCTCATCAATCAGTTAAAGAGCTTTCCAAAAGGGGGAAAAAGTTTTTGCACTCTGTAAAACTCCCCAAAACAGCCCCTTTTTTAAAAAAAGGCATGAATAGCCTTGGGGGGCGGGGATGCTTGCAGAGTGCTCCGGGGGAGGGGGCAAAAACGAGCAAAAAACCCGGCCCATTTTTCACGAAAACAGGCCCGTTTTGTGTCAAAAAAATGGCATGCATAGCCTTATGAAAGCTTATGGAGTGCTGTTGGGAGCTGGGGGGCAAAAAACAGCCTGTGTTTTGCTC